ATATATATATATATATATATATATATATATATATCATTTTATCGCTCAAGATTAATACTAATGTTATTGTTAATATATTGAAAGATATATTTCGACCTTCCAATCATATTCATATTACCTGTCGAGATGACTAATGATAATATCTTGAACAAAGGCGATATTTCACATTATATCTTTGATCTTAAGTATCTCGATAGTTGAGATTGTTGAAATAGTTGAAGATATGTTCATTTTTATGCGTATAGCATGTTTAAGCAATCTTGATATTTTTTATCATTGGACGAATTGAAACAATTGATACTATTAAACATTATAATGTTGAATATGAATTACTTGACTATACAAGAGGAGCAAATGAGATTAGGAGATTAACTCATCATTAGTAGTTATATTACCTAATTGGTAATCAGGGAATAAATCCTAACAAATTTAAATACATTATAGTCAGTATAAATAATTACACTAATCGAAATAAAATTATTATTCATTTATTATCCATTTAAATATTTGAATTCATTATTCTAACTTGAGTTTACAGGTACCTATCCTTCAAAATTATTGACAAATAAGAAGTTTAGAGTTCGACAACAGATTTATTGGTACACCTATTTATCATCTCAAGATATTTAAAAACATAACCTTTTATGATAATTTGTGTATTTTTTTTAAGTGATGAGTATAAGAATACATTGAATACAAAATGTGATAATTTTTAGATTTGTTAAAATTATATTATTTATTTAATATATTAAATTTTTATTTTTAATAAAATTATGTGTGTATTTTAATAAATTGTCTATTTTTAATATATTAAAGATACTTATATATTAACGCTCGCATTTAATATTTGTCTCATACCTATAAAATGTGGGACTGTATCTGAATTAATATTTATGTTTCTATAAATTTATTCGATCTTTAATATTCTAGTATGATATATATCTCAAGGTCTTTAGTGATATATTCTTTTATTTTATTTTTTATACATTGATATAATCTATGATATATATGATTATAAAACTTTTAGCTTCTCCATTAAATAATAAGGAACGAATATTTTTAATAAAGAAATCTTGCAACAATTAGAACATTATTCCCTAACACTAGAAAATTATCTCAAAACTGTGGACGAAGAAGAAGACGACTTCCGAAACAAAAATGAAAAACGCTATCTACGACACTACGTGCATGCTACAAAATTCATAACCCAGTTAGGGTCATCTTTATTTTATATGATCGTTTATGAAATTTGAAGGTAATTATATCTCACTGGTCGATGACTTGGAATTTAAAACTTGCAACTGACAGGAACGAATTTGATTTCACTAACTTATGAATGAAAAAGACGATTACATTTGGTATGAAATGAAATCTACTTATGGATATGCCCGAGATTAATTAACTTGGGACATAAATCTACAATTGAATCAACATGGCATTTGACAATGTCAACGGAAACCAAATCCAGCAAAATGATCCACTGCTCCTCACTTGTTCACTCCATCCTTCATGGCATCAGCAGCTCCTTGTGCCTTTGCCTTCATCTGTTGACCAGCCTACACATAATTCAATAATTAATTAAACACCTTCATTTTTATGCTCCATTTTTTGCACAATATTCCCATATATATTGCTGTGCATCACTAATATTCTGTGTGAAGGGGCCTAAGCGCATCGAGCGAATTCATGTTGTAATTTTGTATTGTTGCACACACACTATGTAACCCTATTTTCTAAGCAATAATAAAAACAATTGTTATGTCTCGACATGGTCACATTTGAGACATGTTGATCCACGATTCTGATTTGGTTCCAAATATACACTTAATTGTATTTTTGACGTGTGTGTTTTGTTCTGCTTTTAGAACGTGATTTTTATTAATAACATAATGTCGACAAATATGTTAATGCTACTAGCATTGGTAGATGCATGTTAAGAACCATGTTGCAAATTACACTCCTATTAACAATCTAAAATTTTGAAAGGGCCACAAATAAAATTTGTAGAACCTCTTGCATGGAGTCTTGTGCTGACTGAGCAGCATTGGAAGCCTTGTCCATCATGTTGCTAGCCTTTTCCTGTGTGCATATACAATTGTAAGCATTTAAATAATAATAATAATAATAATAACTTTTCATCTCATTGAGGTCGATTACATGAATCACTTATTTGATTCGTTTAAAAAGACAAATTAAATAAGAGAAAGGAAACCTCAGTTTGGCCTTTGGCCACTCCAGCGTTGTAGCTTGCCTTCTGGGAATCCATATCTTCTATAAATTGTAACCGAATGAAGTAAAGATATAAATAATTGTTATGTTTGAGATGTTGATTACTTTGTATACTCTGTTTAGATTTATATATAGCTTCTCAAAACATTACATTGTCTAACACGTTTTTTTCTTAATTTGTGGCTATTAATTAAGATTGACAATTTCAATGTAACTCCTTAATTTCCATTTTTCTAGGACATATGTCATGTCATTCTAACAAAGGGAAATGAATAGAGGAATAAGATTCGCTACTTGTTCACCAGTAGAGTGTAGCTCATAAATTTCATATCTAAGGGTCATCTTAGAGCAAATAACTTAATTGAACAATATAAATTATAATATAATAAATATATTTATTTGTATAACAATGAAATCCAGGTTCAACACCCCCTCATATAATGAGTTGACAGTAGAAATGAGAAAATATTTGTATAATCACATAAATTGTTTATGTACATGGGATGAACTATACAAGATATTTTATTTTTTTAACAATTTTTCCTTTTGATGTCATAAAAAATCATGTGTAAAGTGTTTGATGTAATTATTGATAAAGACACTCAACAACATCAATTTTAACTTCAAAAGTATGTTTCTCATAGGTTTGCATTATTTTTTAGATGACATTATCGTTACTCTTTCTCAATTAATTTCACTTCATGTTAACTTGTCTTGTCTATTTCAATTATAATCTTTCAATACCATCTTGTTCTTATAGCGATGACGGCCAACTATCAAACTCAAGTTTTAGTTGATATCTTATTTCCATTTAACTTTATGTATTTATAATTTTCTAGTCAACTTCAATTAGAAATCAGCCATGAACTATAGAAGTATAAATAACTTTTTTATTTCTAACTACACTCATCCCACAACTAGATAATACATTTCGTAAACTTTTTTGGTGAAGAAACGTTTCATAAACTTGAATAGACATTTCATAGACTTTAATGCACAATTCAAACAATTCACTGGGTTAAACGGTACATGTATTTGTTATTGCTTTCGTATCTACAAGTAGTGAAATATGCAAGAGTACTAGTCCATTGATATGTTATAGAATATAAATATGATTGTGTTACATAATTGTGTAGAAAAAAGTTAGACACTGACGACCTACATATTCATTTATTCTTGAATCATTTGTATCATCACCTATGGGTAAAGTGGCCCTTTCAAATCCTTCTTTCACTGATCTTGTTACTTTAGACAAGTGTTATCAAACAAGTATAATTATATTCATTCAAATGTCTAATAATAGTCTCCAAATACATATGTATTCAGAAGCTACAACTAGACATTTAAATGAATATGGAGATGTTGTTTGATAACATTTATCTTGATGATTACTCTAATTGGAATAGCAAGTTTCAGAAGACCAATACAGTTGTCTTGACACAAAGGCTACATTCAAGTAGGTTTTAGAAATTATGGAAAGAGTTGATTCTTAGCCAAACTCCAAATTTTATACAACTTCTCCCCATTATTTTACATATTTTGTCACTTTATTTACCTCTATATTTATATATATATATATATATATATAGATAACTAACTTCAAATAGCATATCAAGATTAAATTTAGTTATTATCGTTTATTAATAGCAACAAATAATATGCTGTAAAAAAATGGTAACATATATAAATTAATTGTAATATAGAAGGGTTTATAAATTTCAAAAATCTAATATGTCAATGTTATACCCATTATTCAAGCTTTATATACTATAAATAGAGTAATAGATATTTATATCAGTTAGGTCAACATTTTTTTAATATTTTTTTGTTATAAACGATTTATAAATGAGAGCAATAAAAGAAAAAAAATCCAATGAAAAAACATGTAATAAATGAAGTTTTTCAACTTTTTCAACATTATGTTGACACAATTTTATATTTTTATTTCACATCCTCTGGTTAAATCTATGCATAATTTCTTTGACTACTGATACATGGAAAGTTCAGAAAAGCATCAATGGAAGATTTCTTAATATAATAAACTCACTTGTTTCTTTGTGAAAAAAATTAAAACCATAAATCATTAAGATACTAAACCAAAATAGTTATAATATATCATTGTTTATCATTTTTAAGAATGATTATTGGCAAGTATATTATAAAGAGTATAATATAATTTCTAAATATTTTCGTAGTATGTATAATTTTAAATATATTTTCAATATTCAAACAAGATCATCCTATTCTTGCATACAAATGAAAAAAGATCAAGTAAAAATTCTTAAAATTCTATCATTATAGAAAAAAAAATTATTACCAGCTAACTCTTCTTAAATCAAGAAAAGAAAAAAAGAAAGAAAGAAAAATTGGGACGCAAAAAAACAAAAGAAAATCAAGAAAGGAAATTGATTCAATTAAAAAGAAAAATTCTTACATTCAATTCAAAAGATCAAGTAAAAATCGTTAGAATTCTACCATTAAAGAGAAAACATATTATTAGGATATAACTTTTGTTAAATCAAGAAAAGAAAAAACAATTTGGGACATGAAGAAACAAAAGAAAATCAAGAAAAGAAATCAATTCAATTGAAAAGAAAAGATTTTTGAGATTCAATTCAATCTAGCAAAAATAAATTAAGCAATGGAGAAATAAGTTAAATTAGTTGTAATTGAGTATAATATAATTTCTAAACATTTGTACCATCACCTATGGCTAAAGTGGTCCTTCCAATTCCTTTTTTCACTCATCTTATTACTTTAGACAAGTGTTGGATCGAGCGCTTACCACTGGGCCAAAAGCTATAGCTAATAGTCAGGGCGCAACTCTTTTTACTTAAGAGCGCAGCAGCCCAAGCGCAATGATTCGACAGTGACTTGGCCCACCTAGCCTCCGCCACGGGACAATTGATGCAACCCGCAATAATCTCCCCCTCAGCAACGGGACAATTGATGCAACCCGCAATAATCTCCCCCTCAGCAATTGCCCCGCTGGGTATCGAACTCATGACCTTGGCTCTGATACCAATTGTTGGATCGAGCGCCTACCACTAGGCCAAAAGCTATAGCTGATAGTCAGGGCGCAACTCTTTTTACTTAAGAGCGTAGGAGCCCAAACGCCATGATTCGACAGTGACTTGGCCCACCTAGCCTCCGCCACGAGACAATTGATGCAACCCGCAACAATCTCCCCCTCAGCAATTGCCCCGCTGGGTATCGAACTCATGACCTTGGCTCTGATACCAATTGTTGGATCGAGCGCTTACCACTAGGCCAAAAGCTATAGCTGATAGTCAGGGCGCAACTCTTTTTACTTAAGAGCGCAGCAGCCCAAGCGCCATGATTCGACAGTGACTTGGCCCACCTAGCCTCCGCCACGGGACAATTGATGCAACCCGCAATAATAGTGTTCTCAAACAAGTAGTACCATATTCATTCAAATGTCTAGTAGTAGTCTCCAAATACATATATATTCAGAAGCTACAACTAGACATTTAGATGAATATGGAGATGTTGTTTGAGAACATTTATCTTGATGATTACCCTAATTGGAATAGCAAGTTTCAAAAGACCAATACAGTTGTCCTGACACAGGCAATGTTAAAGTTGGTTTTAGAAATTATGGAAAGAGTTGATTCTTCAACAAACTCCTAATTTTATACAACTTCTTCTCCCCCATTATTTTACATATTTCGTCACTTTATTTACCCCTCTATATTTGCATATATATAACTAACTTCAAATAGTATATCGAGATTAAATTTAGATATTATCATTTATTAATAGCAACAAATAATATGGTGTAAAAAAATGGAAAAATACATAAATTAATTGTAATATAGAAGATTTTATAAATTTGAAAAATCTAATATGTCAATGTCATACCCATTATTCAAGCTTTATATATTATAAATAGAGTAATAGAAATTTATATAGGTTAGGCCAATAATTTTTTAATATTTTTTTGTTATAAACGATTTATAAATGAGAGCAATAAAAGAAAAAATCCAATGAAAAACATGTAATAAATTAAGTTCTTCAACTTTTTCAACATTATGTTGACACAATTTTATATTTTTATTTCACATCCTCTGGTTAAATCTATGCATAATTTCTTTGACTACTGATACATAGAAAGTTCGAAAAGCATCAATGGAAGATTTCTTAATATATATAATAAACTCACTTTTTTCTTTGTTAAAAAATTTAAAACCGTAAATTGTTAAGATACTAAAAATAAATAGTTTTAATATATCATTGTTTATCTTTTTTAAGAATGATTGTTGGCAAGTATATTATAAAGAGTCTAATATAATTTCTAAATATTTTCATAGCATGTATAATTTTAAATATATTTTCAACTCAAACAAGATCTTCTTATTCTTGAATACAAATGAAAAAAGATCAAGTAAAAATTCTTAAAATCCTATCATTATAGAAAAAAAAATTATTACCAGTTAATTCTTCTTAAATCAAGAAAAGAAAAAAGAAAAAAAATTGGGATGCAAAAAATCAAGTAAAAATCGTTAAAATTCTATCATTAAAGAGAAAACATATTATTAGGATATAGTTTTTGTTAAATCAAGAAAAGAAAAAACAATTTGGGAAACAAAGAAATAAAAGAAAATCAAGAAAAGAAATCAATTCAATTGAAAAGAAAAGATTTTGAGATTCAATTCAATCTAACAAAAATAAATTAAGCAATGGAGAAATAAGTTAAATTAGCAAAGAATTTAGAAGAAAGAAAAACATACCAATTGTATGAGTATAATATAGTTTGTAAACATTTGTACCATCAGCTATGGCTAAAGTTGTCCTTCCAATTCCATCTTTCACTGATCTTGTTACTTTAGACAAGTGTTCTCAAACAAGTATCACCATATTCATTCAAATGTCTAGTAGTAGTCTCCAAATACATATGTATTCAGAAGCTACAACTAGACATTTAGATGAATATGGAGATGTTGTTTGAGAACATTTATCTTGATGATTACTCTAATTGGAATAGTAAGTTTCAAAAGGCCAATACAATTGTCCTGACATAGAGGCAACGTTCAAGTAGGTTTTAGAAATTATGGAAAAAGTTGATTCT